AAAAAAAAGAAAAGAAAGCCGGACCGTACGGCGGGAGGTCGAGTAAAACTTCTTACTTTCCAACCCCCCTTTTGTTCAGGGCTGGGCCTGCCGACTGCCTCTGCGCCTTTGTTGCACTTTCCAGCGCAGAATGCCCGTGTCCCGGTGGGGCCCTGACCCTTGGGGTCTTGCTGCAAAGACAAAATAGGCTCTGACCCTGCCGCTCTGTCAGGTGCCGGCAGGGCTGGCAGGAGGGGGTCTCGGGCCCTGTAACTCCTTTTCGGTGCACTGCTTTAAGCCGTGGATGAGAACCGCTGTGCCAAGATGGCACCGCTGGCATCCAGCGGAGCTGGACCAGCTGTGGGGCTGGTACCTGGTTCTGCTCTTCAAACTCTTCTTTGGGAGTCGCGGCTGGGCGGAGCGAACCGCTGAGGTGCACCAACTTAAATAACTGTAGTGGCCCTGAGTTAGAGCCCGGCACAAATAGTTCTCGCGCTGCCTTGTCCCTTTGTCTCCTCTCGTGTGTTGGCGTTTTGAGTGCTGCTCACCTGGGGGGAGATGGGAGCACCAAGGGGAGAGCTGAACACATCCTTATAAAATTATTATTAATGTCTCCTTCAGGCCTGAAATTCCTCTTGCTAGTCTTCCGTTCTGTTAAATGCCTCACAAACCAGAGCAAAGGAAGAGACATGAAGAGTTGAATTTCACTGCCTTGTTTGGAACTGGGTGGAAATCCTGGAGATGGATCTCTTAGGAGATTGTCTTCCAATTGGGTTAGATGCACAGGTAACAGTCAAGGGACTTGTGGCTTTTTTGGTAAATCTGCTCCTAATTGCTATATGTTTGCAAAGAGCTCTGACATTTGTGATTTAGGGTTTATTGGTTGGTTTGTTTTTTTTTTTCCTCCACCATCTATGTCCAGCTTTGTGCTGCAACAGAGCTCAGGAGTGTTTACTGTGGCAGCTACAGCAGTCCTGCTTTAAACACTGACACCAGTGATGTTTTTTTCTTTAGCAGTAGGGTGAACAAATGCACTGACAGTGCATATAGGCTTTAGGGTAAGAGGGCTAATGAAGTGACTGTGTTGCCAGGTTTGAGACATGTCTTAAGTTGAGCTGAGGGAAGAAATGAGAAGTTGAAAGGAAAGTTGGCCCTTATAGGGAGAAGTTATGGAGAGCTTCACAGAAATGGCTTTGCCAGCTCTTGAGTTTTGCAACCACTGGGGTTTCTTAAAAGTCTGGCCTTGCAGCCTTGTGATTACAAGAGATTTTCTTCATCAATAAGTAACAGATGGGAAAAAGTGAATGGGGCATACCATAAATTTCAAATACGGCAGGCCAAAGCAAAGCAGACCCCAAAGAAGATGAGTGACCACCAGGCTATTTGAAGGATTGGAGTTGCTTTTTTTAAAACAATGTCTTTTCCGTTTGTGTGTGCTGAGGATGGGGGCTGGCTCGCTCCTTGTGACCAATTGTGGAATTGGAGCTGTGGGTGGACTCTTAGACACGTGTGAACTTTGTCTCTCTGCGGCCCAGCACTCGAGGACTTTCCACAAAGCCCTGACCTTCACCACTGAGTCACTCGCCTCTCCTGCCCATGCAGATGGGTAGCATTGGGAGGGAGGAAGGGAGGGAGGCAGGCAGGCGTGGAAAAAAAGAGCTGTGTTTTAGTGTTGGAGCAGAAGGCATTCTCTCCTGGACAACATTCGTGTTGTGTCTTAGCTGTTTCCTCAAATGTCGCTTTATTGCAGGAGCAATGGATCGCCCCAGCTACCTGGAAGAGGACTATTCTAGCCTGGATGGGCTGGACGATGACGTGTTTCACTCTGATGACTTTGGACTTGCAGGTCAGCCTGGTGAGATGACTGCAACTGGCATTTTCACACAGAACCAGTCCTACAGCTGCCTTCTGGGGAGGTTTCAACTATTCCCCCTCACACACTGCTGTGGTCCCGGTATCAGGCATCCTGAGCAGCAGGACAAGGCAACTCAAACACTCAGCCCGTCCTCTTCCAGTCAGGATGTTATGTTGCCTTGTGGAGTCACTGAAGAGCCCCGGAGACTCTTCTATGGTAAGAGCACTCCAGTGTCGCCAGCTTTGCAGCAAGGAAACTGTCCCTTTAGCACTTCCCCAATCAAGCAAGGTTGCTTTTGTTAGGGTGTTTTATTGAAGGACTGAAATGATTTTGCTTTGGTCAAGCAGCTTGTGTTTTCTTACCCTTGCTTGTCCACTGTAGGAGCCAGGCACTTGCTCATTGCTTCCACTGTCCTTGATATTCCCACTCTCTTTCTTTTTGGCTTTATTCTGTCACGTTTTATCTTATTGCTAGATGTTTAAGTGCTCACCATACTTAGTATCTTACAATTTGCCTACATTTTTTTAACTTCTAGCGCTGTCGTGTCTACATAGGGAAACTACTAGAAGTTTTCAGTGGAGAGAGAGAAATGCAAAATTTTACACTTAGTGGGACAGCTTTTAGGCTCTTTACTGGTGTTAAAGTTGTCGAATAAGTGGCATGTCCGTCCAGTGTTTTACTACTAACTGATGGGACACCCCTCAGCTTTGTGTATCATCTGATTCAGCTTTAATTCAAATCGGTCCCCCTAAATGCCAGAGGGCTGAGAAAGTCTGACAGAAAAGATACAGCACCCTTTAATGGGAGACAACTTGAGGCAGAGATCTTGTAAAACTGCAAAACTGTCATTTTAAAAAAAAAAAATCAGCACTTGGCTGAACTATAAACAAGCTAAAGGAACCAAGTCTAAGATCCTGTCAGTCATTTGATTATGGGAAGCAACACAATGCTCTGCTTAATCGATATAAATCTACTGAAAAGCTGAGCAAATGTTTTACTGCATGCTTATGGTACACACTCATTGTTTGGGCTTCAGGAACTGGATTTTTATGCGAGTCAAAAATTTAGGATTATGTGCAGTTCTTCCCTCTGTAAAGTGTACTGAGCAGAAGAGCTATTCTTTGCGCTGGAAGAATGACTCTTCTGATCTCTGTTTTGTAGGGAATGCTGGTTACCGTTTACACGTCCCTCCAGTTGGCTTTGCATTGGATCCGCACCTCCAAGAGGAGCCTCAGGAAGGTCAGCGGGAAGCGCGTGCCGAGGTGCAGATTGCACGGAAGCTGCAGTGCATTGCCGACCAGTTCCACCGGCTCCACATACAGAGGGTAGGGTGTCTCTGGAGGGGAAGGTGGGGGTTTAGCTATCCAAGAGTGGTGCTCTAGAAGACTGGCTCCAGGCACCAGCTAAGTGGGCTGTTATTTAAGGCAGCAGACTGCCAGCAGCGATAAAACGGCAGGAATATGTTGATGGATTGCTGACTCTTCCTAAAGATTGGCAGGTGGAGGGAAGAGGATGTGTGGGACTGCATTTGCTGCCTGGGAAGGTAGCTGTTCTGCGTTAGCTGCTGTTGTTCCAGCTCTTCCAGTTCATCAGTAACAAGGTCACTGAGGCTTTCTCCAGGGATCTCCCCCTTGCTTTTTATTACAGCTTGTACTCTTCTCCTCTCTCCTCACCACCACTGTCTTCTCTGTGGCACAAGTGGCCATCTGTGGCTTATATCAGCTCCTCATCTTGGAGATGACAGCAAGCCTGGAGTCTGTTCTGACACTCTTTGTTGACTAGGGGTAGTTGTCTAAAATGTTGTGGAGTATATTTAAATCATGCAACACCTGTTAGCAACTCCTCTGTCAGACAGTCCTAGCTAGTGTCTTAGGCCTGTGACTAACTTCCTCACAACAAAAGACAGCTGTTAGATGCCATTAGGTCCACACTCCAGAATCTTGATTTTTGTTTTCTTAAAAAAAAAAAAGGGGGGAAAAAAGAAACCCAGCTCTTCAAAGAAACAAAATGAAACCAGCACCCCTAAACCCCCTGATTCTTTCTTCCTTGCCCTCCTTTGCCCGTTGAGTAGGGATGAAATGGAAATCCCAGCCCATGCAGAGTTTGTCCAAGGTGGCAGAGCTTTGGCAGTAGGCAGCAGTTCTCCACTTCTGTGCAAGCCCAACAAGGAGAGCCTGTATCTGCTTGCATATGAAGAAGCTGACACTCGTGCCGACTTCAGAGAGGGACAGAAAGCTTATCTCGCTCCAAGTGCATTGGTGCTCTGTTAACGGTGGGATCTGTTGCAATTCTTTTCAAAGGTAAGTGAGGATCTCTGTCTTGGTCAGAGAATGTGGCTTTGTGGCTGGGCAAAGTTTTGGTCCTCTGTGTCATGCAAGAGATGAGGGAATTCTGAGACTCTTCATCTCCAAATGGAGGATTAAAGAAGCCATAACAGGAAGATTAACCTGTAGAATGTAGATGGGGCTATGAATGTCACTTAGCACATTGCAAGAATAACTACCATGAGATTTTTAACGTGTGTTGTGTGTGGTTGAATGGGGTTTTCCCTGTCTCCACTTTGTTGCCAGCAGTAGCTGAAGACCCCGCTCTCTCTATCCAGATTCTCACAGGAAAGGGAAGGTTAACCATCTCCGTGGAGGAGCCCTGGAGCAAAGTGGTGGAACTGGTTGTAACTTGACCCCTTTCATCTCTGGGGGGAGCGTACCTATCTGATGTCTGTGTCTTGGAAACCCATCCAGCAATGCCCACCCAAACCGGCCCTGCTGCAGTTGCCCTGGGTTGTGCGCTTTGCTGTCCTGTGGCCCAGGGGCAAGCTGCCAGTCGTGGCTGCCGTGGGGGCTCCCAGTGCCACGCACAGGACCGCGGCCAAGGCTGCTGGCCCAGGCGAGCTGCCTGCCAGCCAAGCATGTGGGAGAGTTAGTAAACACAAGCGTCGGCCTGCGCTACCCGCCGGCACAGCCAGCAGAGGAGGAGCTCTGCTGTCTTTGTTTGAACTGGAAGAGCAACAAGTTGTAAAGGAGGGGGGGAGAGCCGTTCAGCCGTTTAATTTTGAAAACAAAACAAAACAAAAAAACCAAACCCCAACCCAAAAACTTAACCCGAGGACGGAATAGTTCAGCCAATGGTTCTCCACAACCTGACCCTGGGATAGGCCTTGGCATCTGGATCTGTTAAGGGATTCTTTCTTGTTTGTCAGGAAAACTGAGTACTGAGCCACATATTAGTGTCCAAGGCACAGTTCCCCGTGGAGTGTTTTGTTGTCATGCCCAATCCCTTCCCCCCCAGCCCTGCATGGAGGATTTCCTTTGGCTTTTGGCACAGATCTCCTGTGCAGAAGCCCCTCTGTCCTGTGTGCAGTGACTCTTCCCAGCCTGTTGCTGAAGAAGCAAGCAGCCAGCCCCTGGAGACACGTGAACTGGTTCACAATGTGTTGTGGTTTGGAAGGGGCAGTCTCTGAGACGTGGAAAACTGGGCTGTCGTTTATCTTGCTGTGAAACTTAAACCCCAATTTGGATGCCCCATCTCAGCTTGTCTCAAACATTTGGTCAAAACCAACTTTCCAGAGTGGTGTCTTGAATCAGATTTAGAATACCACAAAGTTAGTCACACCAGTGTGGTCTTGTGAAGTCCTGAGAGAGAGCAAGCTTGGTTTTCAACAAGCTGTGCCTCTTTTCGGAGCCTACAAAATACCTTATCTGTGAATCTGTGAAAAGAAAAAGTTATGTGCCCTTTCAGTGGGAGTTAGGAAAGGCTTTCAGCATTGGAGTAGTGCATCCAGCTAGCTCAGCAGTTGCTGTCTCATGGCTCTTGGGTTCTGCGAGACTCTCCAGCAGTTCAGGTATGGCTCCCATTCTGCTGCTGCAGCAGTAAGGTTGTGTTGACACAAAGGCCGCTGGTTAATGTACATCCCTGGCTGAGAGAGGAACTGAGCAGGCAATAGCTGCTGAGGTTGACGTCACTGCGTTGTCATTGGACTCAGCTGCATGCATGGTCTAACCCCATCCCACACTGGGAACCCTGGAGAGTCACTGTTATCTCTTCTCTGGGCTCCTGGAGCTATGTGGTATTTATTCTGTGGTTCTTGGCTATACAAAAGATTTTTGGGTATGCATCTCGTAAGAATAAGAAAGTTGGCCACACCTATGCTTGCTTTTGGCATGTACACCATTTTCAGGGTTTCATTTCCTATTAATATATTAAGCAGAATACAGTAGTTTAAAACCATGCTTTTTCATCCTTAGAACAATGCTAGAGCAATAATGCGGCATTCTAACACTCTGCAGCTTTCATCTCCTTAAGATGCTGAATTTATTACAGGAAGGACTTGAGCAACTCTCAAGAGCCTGCTACAGGTTGATCCAGTTTGCAGAGGGCTCTGCAGAGTGACATGCAAGACCCATCTATGTTTTCTTGGCTGTGTAGCTTCTGGCAGAGTTCCCTCTGTTGTGCTTTTCTCACCCTGCTCTGGAAAACAAAGGTAGAGCCAAGCCATGCTTTCTGCAGGAGAAGTCAGTACCTGCCACCTCCTTCTTGGTTTGGAGCAAGTGTGCCTTTGCTGTGGGATCTGTGACTGCTTGCTATAGCCCAGCCTGTGGCTGAGCTTAAAGAGCGCACTCTGAGGTTATGGAGAACAGAGCTGAGCGTAGGGGATCTGCTGGTCTGTTGGCTGGGATGCGCTGCCTGTGCCCTGCACATCTGGGCTGCGGCAACAAGTGTTTGGGCTCTGCTTCAGGTCCTGAGTGCACTTGAGTTTCCTCGCATTCGACAGCATACTTCACAACATGACGTGGTGCTAGATGGGATGCGAGTAGACAAGCAGGGATGACGGCGGCGGCAGCAGCAGCGTAAAGCCGCCCCATAGGAGCATGGGGTTATACAAGAGTGGGGTGGATGACACTGTATATCAGTATCACACCCCTTTAGTTTGACTTGCTCCATTGAGACACTGGAATGCTACAGCTTTTTCCAAATAAAATAACTCTTTCTAAGCAGGCTGCAGCTTTGAGGGGACTGCTTTTACCGCATCTCTTCTTCATGGTGATAAGATCACTTCACAGGGGATAAAATTGTCTCTTTAAGAGCCAAGGAGTGGTAGCCTTGAACAGTTCTGGGCTCAGGTCCAAGCAGAGCCACTGACTTGCTGTATGACCTCAGACAAGTCTCTTGACCTCCTTGTGCTTCAGTCAACCCATCTGGAAAGCTCAGTTTAAAAAAAGCTGAGCCTCAATGAGAACCAGATGCTGAATCAGAGCTGAGCTTTCTTGAGTAAATAAGTGCATTACAAACAACAACAAAGCCCCTTTCCAACACATCAGGAATCCTGCAGTTGATTTAGATATGCTGACCATGCTCAAAAAGCCTCCGTGGATCTAGCTATAGAAAACTTTGTTTCTCTAAATTCCCCAATTGGTTCAGCAAGTAACTCTCTCGCCGTCACTGCAACGGGCTCGAGCAGCCTGTGGAGCACGAATGCCTACATCCACACCGGCTGTGGACAGACGGCTAGGCATGTACCTGTTTGTCTCAAGTTAATGACACTGAAAATGTCCAGGAGGAAATGTTGTTTTCCTTTGAAAGTGAAACTTGTTACATTTTGCATATTTTTTCCCCTCTGTCTCTCATGAGAGTTATCAAGGCCTCCTCTGAGACACTTCTGCTTATGCAACAGGGAGCCCGTGTCTCTTGTCGGAAACTTATCGGTGTGAGAGAGTGACTGCACAGCACTACATGTGTATCATTTATCCCAAACTCCATCAGGCTTTTCTCCATCGTTTACTGAGGACATTCAGGGAATTTTTTTAAGAGGTTTTGTTTTGTTTTGGTTTTTTTAACTGGAATTATTTGCAGGAAGCTGTCCTTTATGATGACTTTATGTTTTAGGAAAAGTGTTCAGAAAAAGTTCCTAATAATGTAATATAGAGACACTCAAACTGTCCTGCAGCTGAGCCTGTAGCACTGGCATCTCCATACTTCACCTGTACCTGCAGTCTTTTTGAGACCTGGGGTAAGCACTTTCATTCATTTGTTTCCTGAATAGGTCAGTACATTTCAGGATCTTCTCTGCTGGCTAGTGCTTGATGGTCCCTGCTGCTGCTGTGCAAAGCAGTGGGTGTCCTCTTCAGCTCTCTGTGGGTTGCCCATCAGTGCAGGACTTGAATTTCCAGCTGAGGATGCAGGAGCATGGTGAGGGAGAGTACCAGATGGAGAACTCCTGAAGTGAGTGAGCCCAGTTTAGAAGGCAGGGGTTAGAGTGGATGTGAGGTTGGGAAGATTGAGATGTAAAGCAAAGTTCTTGCAGGGCTATGTAATTGGGATTCTAGGCTTGAGGAAAGGAGGGTGCCATAGGGGGAAGAGAAATTCTCACAGTCAGTGGAGTCAGAAACTTGATGTGAGGAAATAGAGACAGATTTTTTTTTTTTTTTTTTTTTTTTTTTTTTTTTTGCTTCATGTTGTTAGATCCCCCCCCCCCGCCATTTTTACAAATGCCAGTGAAGGAAGAGGTAGGCTTGGAAGTGCACCTTCCCCTATGCATACAAATGGCACAGCAACCTGTTGGCCCTTGCCTAGCACCTGTTCTGAAATCCTGCTGCCTGTGGAGCTGATTACTTGACATTTAGGTTAACAGAAACTTGCTGGACCCTTTCACATCTGATCTGAAATTGTATTTTTTGGTATGTTAAGAAAAGAAATGGAGAACAAGAACATAGTTATGGCACTGTGTAAATCCATGTTTCTCCCATATCTTGAATCTTACATACAGTTTTGATTTCCTTCTTCCA